AAAAGCGTGATCTATAAAGCAAAGTAATAAATTGAGCTCCATCAAAATTAAAAACTTATGCTCTTTGGCATACAATATTTAAGAAAATGAAAAGCCACAGATTGGGTGAAAATTTTTGCAAAACACAAATCTGTTAAGCGATTTGAATCCAGAATGTGTAACTAATTCTTACAACTTAGTAAGACAAACAACTGAATAGAAAATTGGCAAAAGATTTGAAAACACCCTTTACCAAAGAAGAGATATGGATGTTAAGTAAGATTTGAAAGAATACTCAATGTCATTAGTCCTTGGGAAAAGGTACCATTACATACCTACTAGGATGGCTAAAAAACAGGCAAGAACAGACAAACAAAAACTAAGTGCTAGTAAGGATGTGAAGCAGCTGGAACTCTCATTTGTTGCTGGTGGGAATGCAAAATGGTACAGCCACGTTGGAAAACAGTTTACTAGTTTCTTATAAACTTAAACTTGTATTTAATATAGAACTTAGCATTCCTCAACTTAGATATTCACCCAAGAAAAATGAAAACATACATCCACCTAAAGATCTGTAGTTGGATATTTAAGGCTAGGGTTAGTAGCCTTATTCATAGCAGTGTATTCAGCTGTTGGAGTAGATAAATAAATTGTGGTGTATTCATACAATGGAGTGCTACTCAGCAATTAAAAGGAATAAATACTAATATTATAGATAAAACAATATGGATGAGTCCTCAGAAGCATTATGCTAAGTGAAAGAAGCCAGACGAAAAAGGCTACAGACTGTATAATTCCATTTGTATGATATTCTGGAAAAGGAATTGAAATCAAATCAGTGATTTCCAGGGCTGGAGGTCAATAAACATGATTTCTTACACACACACACACACACACACAACTCCAGCATTCCTTAGCATTCCCAGGAATGGATGTTTCTGGTGTGGAGAAGGTTGGATTACGGATAGTATTGAGACAGATATGATACAGAGGAATGAGTGCTAGATTCACTGATAATAGTGCTGCTGCTGATGGTTGTGGTTCAATGAGTATATTGCCGGGCACCATGCTGATTACTTAAGTGCATCCTCAGAGACTTCCCTGGCATTCCAGTGGTTAAGAATTTACACGTCCACTGCAGAGGGCACAGGTTTGACCCTGGTTGGGGAACTAAGATCCTGCATGCCACCACGTGAGGCCCAAAAAATAAATAAATAAAAATATAAAGCGTCCTTACTGTTAATTTTCATAGTGACTCTGATTAGATATTATCATCCCTATTTTAGTAGAAACTGAGGTCTAATTGGATTTAAGCAAGTTGCTCAGTTATACCACTAGAGTATTCAAACTCTTGAATGTTTGACACCAAAAAGCATGTTCTTAACATAAATAAAAGTATAAGTCCCAGGGAGACAGGGAATTTTGTTTGTTTGTTTCTGTTTTCATCACTGTATCCCCAAAGTCATAAAACCATGGCAGTTGCATAATGAGTATTTCTTTTTTTCTTCTTTTTTTAATGAGTATTTCTTTAAAAATTATTAGAGATATCAAATTTTGGAAGATATAAAAAAACAAACTGGAAGAGGCAAAGAAAACTATATGAAGATATATGATTTTTTTTTTTTTTTCTTGCGGTACACGGGCCTCTCACTGTTGTGGCCTCTCCCGTTGCGTAGCACAGGCTCCGGTCACACAGGCTCAGCGACCGTGGCTCACGGGCCCAGCCGCTCTGCGGCATGCGGGATCTTCCTGGACCGGGGCACGAACCCGTGCCCCCTGCATCGGCAGGCGGACTCTCAAGCACTGCGCCACCAGGGAAGCCCTATGATTTTTAAATGATTGCAAATATGGTGGTTAGGCTGATGTTTTCCATTTAGGCATTTATCATATCAGATGACTTTGTGTTAAATTATTTTGTGTTCCAGTATAGCCTAATATTTTAAAAAGTGAACAGAATGATTATAGAGTAGGATTTTGTAGTTGATTCTCATCTTCATGGCTTTGTAAATTTTTTCCCTGTGGCAAATTTTGGTGGCATCCAGATATAAGATCAGACCAAGTGGATGTTATAGGTTACAACTAAAATGCAAGCCCTTTCCATATCTGTCTCTATCTCTATATATAATTCTATATCTAGAATCTTAAATACTTTAATGTAGAAATTCTTCTAGGACTCTCTTGATTGGAAACTGATTATTTTCTTCACATAGATTAACAAAAATATTTGTGCATGAATCATTTGGTTTTATAACATTGATCTCATCTGTAATATGGTTCCCTCTAAAGAACTAAATCAAATATAGGTGATTAAAATATTTAATATTCTCAAGTTTAGAAGGAACATTTATTTTTCTTCCATATATAACTGTGTATGAAGAAGAAAGAACACTTTATCTATACATATAGTTAATTGGGATGCAGCTAGAACATCAACAATATCAACAACAAAAACAAGATTTATAAATCATCTGAAATAAAGGTCACACATTTTGCTTATAGGAAAGTTCCTCAGGTCCTTAAAAGTCAGAACCTATGTATACAACATTTTATTTAGGCATTTTATCATTTCAAATGAACTTGTGTTGAATCGTATTTGCTATGTCCTAATAAAATTTGCTATTTAAAAAAAATGAATAAAGTACATACTCAATTTTAACAAGCTTAATACTTCATTTCCCAACTTTAAAAGAGTAAAAAAAAGATTGGAGTTGCTGAAAGAAGACACATTGAGAGAAGTTAGGTTCAACAGGTGATAGCCTGAGCAAAGAAGCAAACCAAAATCATGATAAGAATTAACCATAAAAATTTAAAAATCATGGTAGTTTGGAAGTTGTTTATTATAGAGACAACCAACCTTTTACATCTTAGTAGTTCCTGAGAAATTGACCATAGTAATGTAAATACTTATAAGTGTATATATATATATAAGAGTTTATGTTCATTCATTTTATTAAAACATACTTAATAGTCATTATAACAGTCAAGCAACATATACTTTGTTGTTCAGTTTCAGAAATAGTAAGTATGTAGTCTAGTTTCAATGTCAAATTTATTGAAGTATAATTTATATACACTAAATCAACCAGTTTTAAGTGAAGAGTTCAATAGGTTTTGACAAATGTTATTTAACCATTGAGATCTAAAAATTTTTTATTACTCCAGAAAGTTGTCTCATTCTCTTTTGTCATCATTCCCCAACACACATCCACTCCTGTCCCCAGGCAGCCACTGATCTACTTTCTGACATTAAAGATTAGTTTCGCCTTTTCTAGAATTTTGTAGAAATCAAAGTGTACACAGCATGTACACTTCTGTATTTGGCTTTCTTTCCTCTGTGTAATAACTGAGATTTATCTATGTTGTGTGTATTTATACTTTTCCTTTTTATTGTTGAATAACATTCCATTGAATGGATATACCACAGTTTATCTCTTCACCTGTTTTTGGATATTGGGTTGTTTGAGTTTTTGGTTTTTATGAATGAAGCTGCTGTTAACATTCAGGTACCAAGTTTCCACTTCTCTTGGGTATAAATATCTAGGGGTGGAATTGCTAAGTGCTATGGCAGGTATATAACTTTATAAGAACTTGCCAAACTTCTTTTCAAAAATGGTTGTACCATTTTACGTTTTCATCAGTAATGTTTGAGTGTTCCATTGCTTTACATCCTTATCAACCTTTGATATTGTTAGTCTTTTTAATTTTAACAATTCTAGTGGGTGTATAGTTGTAATATAAGTTTTAAAATATTTATTTCCCAAGTAGCTAAAATTAAGGAAAAGTTTAGAGTTGGATAGTGATAAGCTTCATATTATCCATAAAATTTGATAATCTAGAATAATTCTTTTTTCTAAAGCTTTTATATAATTGAGATTTCAGAACAATATAAAATTGCATCACATACTTTTCAGCTCCATTGTAATCTCCAATTAAGAGTAATAAGCAGTTCCAGCTGTTTGATAGAACATCAGATTATTTGGTATTTCTTTTGTTTTCAATTTAATATAATCCAAATTTTACCTATAAAACTTACATATTTAAATAGGGATGTGTATTTTTTGGGATAAAAAGTATTTTAATGATAATGAAAAAATATTCTAATGATAGTGGTAGCCATCATTCATTGAATATTAGTTATATGCCAGATCTAAGGGCTTTATATATATAATCTCATTTAATTCTTACAAAGTGAAATATGTATTTCCATTTTACAAGGAAGGCAATTAGGGCACTGACAGATATGAATTTCATAAGGTTAAAAAATACTTGAATCAGGACTTCCGTGGTGGCACAGTGGTTAAGAATCCACCTGCCAATGCAGGGGACACGGGTTCGAGCCCTGGTCCGGGAAGATCCCGCATGCTGCAGAGCAACTAAGCCCATGTGCCACAGCTGAAGCCTGCGTGCCCTAGAGCCCACGCTCCGCAACAAGAGAAGCCACCGCAATGAGAAGACCGAGCACCCCAACGAAGAGTAGCCCCCGCTCTCCGCAACTAGAGAAAGCCCACGCGCAGCAACAAAGACCCGAGGCAGCCAAAAATAAAAATCATTTAAAAATTTTAAAAAAAGACTTGAATCAATAGATTGATAAAAGAACAAGTGAATTAGAAGAAAAAAAATTTTGGAGTCCATTTTATGGAGCCTAAAATCTTTCAACTTGGCTTTGATGACATTGGATTACTGAAAAATGAAAATATTTACTTCAGAGAACTGACTGGCCCCTAGATTTTTTGTAGAAAGTTGTAATTTAACTTTTTGACCTTTCTAGTAATTTTTTTGCCTTATAGTATAAAATTTAGTTACTAATTTTGTAACTAGTTTGTTTGTTACTAGTGTAGAATTAAATGCTCTCAAGTATATGACCTCATAAAGATTTAGTACTAAACAAATTAATTTTGTTATGCTGAATAAGAAAAAACTTGCATATAATACAGTTTTAGCACAGTATCCAGTGTGTGAATGATTTAATGAAATATTTGAACCTTTTTGTTTTGTTTTGTTTTGTCTTGTTTTGTTTCCAGGAAGGTTATGTTCAAAAGAAAAAGGAACTATGGGGAATTTGTATCTTTATTGCAGCAGTTGACCTAGATGAGATGCCATTCACTTTCACTGAGCTGCAGAAAAACATTGAAACCAGGTAAAATTTCTTATATTAATATAGGCCTCTGCCATTAAAGAAAACTATTTCTGAACTATCATTTTAATAGACTTTAGGGAATTAGTGGAAAATGCTAAAATTAAATAAAACGTAGAAAACTTAGGTCAACCAGTGAACTCCTGTTCTCCATTAGAGCCCTTAATGAAGGTGTATTTTTGCCGCACTTTCTTAAAAATGTAGCAGTTTCTGTCCTGGGAAAATTTCCATTGTGTCTCTCACTATCTGTAAACTTTCTTAATTGTAGCTGTTGATAAAATGGACAAAAAAAGCAAAGATTTATGAAGTAGACTTATATATTAAAACCTTTGTAAAAGTAGTATGAGTCTATCTTAAAGGAATTTAGTTGATTTATTAAAGTTTAAGATTATTTAATATAATAGATATTATAATTATATATGTTTTGAGACTGTATGTTCAGTTGAGTATCTGTTATAATACTTGTCCCTGTAATTACTTAATTAAAGTCTGTATTGAGTTTCTAAGCCTAATAAGAGGAGTTTACTGTTTCCAGTAAGTCAAGAGAAGCCTTCTGGGAATTCCAGTCATTTCTTTTGCAGTATGTTTATGAAATGTAACAGTAAATAATTTTACCAAAAAGATAGTAGTGTATGTTTTTTCTTGGATAAAACCGTCTGGAGTTAGACATAATTGGTATTTTGTGTAAATGAGATAAATTGTTGCATGTTTTAGTAACTTTTTCTTATTACCTCTAAATAAAATGTGGAAACAAAGGCCTTGTATGTTCATATTTAACTTATTGAATATGAATTGGTTTACCTCTCAGAGATTTCACAGTTTAACGTTATTAACTAAAATCACTAAATCAAAATAGTTTTTATATAGCTGAAAAATAATCTAAATATAGAGGTAAAATTTTGCGTTGATTTATTCATTTATTCAGCATATGTTTTCGTGACCTCTGAGGATTAGAAAAAGAATGAATGTTTGGGTTAAGATAGACTGGGTTTATTTTACAAGGTATATGACTTGGAGCAGATTGCTTATCCGTATTAAGTCTCGGGTTCCTTTCCTTTCCTGCAAAATAAAAATTATTAACTACTTGATAGAATTTTGAGAATTAAATAACTTATAACGAGCAGAGAAGTAAATAGTTCTCGAGTCAATGCCTGTAACACCATAGGTGCTGATGAGGTCTTGATCTCTTTTTTTCTGTAGATTCCTCCTATTACCCGCCCCCCCCCAAACAAAAAGGGGGAAGGAAACAAAACTTACCAACTGCTAGGCGCTGTGTTACTCTACTAGGTTCTAATGATATAGAGGTGAGATACAGTCTCTGACCTCAAGAATCTCATCCAGTTTAAATTAAACAGGTGACTGCAATACAGTGTTATATAGCTATCCATAGACTGCTAAATAAATATGACAGAGAAAGTCTATTACATCCTTTATCTATAAGGTGAAAGAATTTTCCTGGAAAAGATTTTCCTAAACTTTTTCTCTGAGTAGTCATAGAGTAACTCTGATTTATAAAATGGGCATATCATAAATAATATCACTACAATAATTATAGTAATGTATTTGGTACAACTTTTTCTTAGGGCATCTCTCAGTGTTCTGATAACTATCCAGGAATGTTATCTAAACCACTGCTTCTTAAAAGTACTCTGGTGAAGGGCTAGTTTCTTTTCTTCCCAGTATGTCATAGACTGATGTTTTAAAAATAAGTAATATAAATTAATTACTAGAAAAATGAAACAAAAATCATACTAAATACAGGACTAAATTTTTTATTATTGGATTCAGCAGGCATTAAAATTAGTGTCAGATTGCCATAAAAGTTTTTAAGTGTTTACCCCCAATTTCTGTACTTAATTGTGGACTGGTAAACAGTTTATGGACCATTATCAATCCATGGAGCACTGCTCCTAGAATATGTAGTTATCTACAGATCTGTGTGTTTTAATTATGGCTTTTTATGCCTGTCTGCCTGCCTCCCTCTCACCTTCCTGCCTTCACTTCTTTCCTTCAGAGGAGGACTACAGAAGGAATAGAGACTCACATAAGTTACCCCTAGAAAAAGAAGGCTTTTTAGTAACAATTCACAGTTTTCATGGTGCTCCATGGATAGGTATTGCCATATATCTCAAAACTGGAAGTGAGAGTGGTTCCTGAATAAATGCCATTCTAAGTTTGATTTCTTTTTCTCAGCAGGTTAGCTCCATTCTTTTTTTTTTTTTAAAGGATCGATTTTTATTTATCTATTTATTTTTGGTTGCGCTGAGTCTTCGTTGCTGCGTGTGGGCTTTCTCTAGTTGCATCTAGCAGGGGCTACTCTTCATTGCAGTGTGCAGGCGTCTCATTGCTGTGGCTTCTCTTGTTGTGGAGCACGGTCTCTAGATGTGCGGGCTTCAGTAGTTGTGGTGTGCGGGCTTGGTTGCTCCATGGCGTGTGGGATCTTCCTGGACCGAGGCTTGAACCCGTGTCCCCTGCGTTGGCAGGGGGATTCTTAAACCACTGCGCCACCAGGGAAGTCCCCATTCTTTTTCTTTTCCAAGCAGCATCATGATTATCTACTCTGTATCATTCTACTCCTCCTTTATTTGCTTGTCATGGCTGCCCCAATCCCCTCTATATCAGTGGAACTTTTCATAACCTTCTTTTGTGTTCTGTGCCCTCTGCTTATTAGCTGAGGCTTTTATTTTTCCAGTTCCCAAGATAAATGTCTGAGTGGTACAGCCCTCTTTTTGGAATGAAGCCTGTAACTCACTGGTTGCTAGACAGCCTATGGATGGGTCTAGTGACTACCCTGTAGTTCAGTTAGCTGCTTTGGTATAGCTCCTTAGACAAACTTGATTAGAAGTGAGTATGTGAAGTGCAGTTGATGATTGCTATCTGTAGCGCCCTATTTTTCAGAAGTCAAAAATGTATGTATTGATATTTCAAATAGGTTAATTTTTATAGAAAACAATAAACAATGATTTAAAGTTACTATTTAAACAACCTAAAAATTTTAATCAGTTTCCCTTTTCCCTTCTCCAACAATTCAGTCCTAAAACCGCTGGTGGGCTGAAGAAAGTAGGTGTGTGCATCTGTGGTGGGGAGCACTGTGGTGCCCAGAGAAGGATGCCAGAGCCACAGTGGGATGAGAAGGTCATCCACCAGGGGCCTGGGGCTTCTTGACATGGGCTGCTTGCTGTGCAATGTCAGAGACCAAGCAGGGTGTGCGGGCAGCTGGTATAGGGAGTCATGGCACATGTGGGGTAAGGGCAGTCTGGGGTGAGGAGTCAGAGCCCTACTAGGGTGAGGATGGTGTCCATGTGGAGGCGGGAGGGCAGTCCAGGATGGGGAGAGTCAGTCTGAGCAGGAGAGGAGGGTGCCCATGTGGAGGAGTGGGTAGCTTGGTACTTATATGGGGGATTGATTAAATGAGTAAATTAAAGATAAGTGGGTCCCAGGTTTCTCACTGTCAAAGAAGAGTTATGAATATGGAAAGGGAAACACTGGAAGGAACCCTGTAGTTTTTGTGTTGGAATTGGGTAAATGGATGTGAACTTGTGATTTTAAAACATATAGATAGATACAGAAATAAATATATGTATATGTCTGTTATAACCCTTATTTTTTTTTCTGTGTTCTTGATGATAAGTAGATGTAGGCATAGGTGTATAGATATAGTGGTATAGGTTGAAGACTAGTTGATTTTTTTCCTCTTTAAATTCTAGTAAAATGCAAAATCTAAGTTCCTTCTAAACGATATATAATAGTGATTTGGTGTAGAGCTAACAAGTGTTTTGAATTGAAATGTCTATGCTTTGAAAATGAAACAAAATGAATTTTTAAAGTTATGGATTCACTTTTTTCTATTCTTTCCTTTGTAGTGTCTATAAATTTTTTGACTTACTAAAAGAAATCGATACCAGTATCAAAGTTGATAATGTTATGTCAAGACTGTTGAAGAAGTATAATGTGTTGTGTGCACTCTACAGCAAATTAGAAAGGTAAAGTACAAATTTTATTAGGGTTACACCCTGCTTTTTCGTATCATTGTTCATGATTAGTTTCCTTCTGGGAACTGTTACATTCTTAGTAAAGTTATTAAGTATTACACCTTAGATTTGTCCCCTTAATATTCTTTTTTTTTTTTTTTTTTTTTTTTTTCTGCGGTACACGGGCCTCTCACTGCTGTGGCCTCTCCCGTTGTGGAGCACAGGCTCGGGACGCTCAGGCTCAGCAGCCATGGCTCACAGGCCCAGCCGCTCCGCGGCATGTGGGACCCTCCCGGACCGGGACACAAACCCGTGTCCCCTGCATCGGCAGGCGGACTCTCAACCACTGCGCCACCAGGGAAGCCCTGTCCCCTTAATATTCTTAACTTTCTTATTTGTCCAATCATATTCATTCTGAATGTTTCTTCTAAAATTACTTGTTTTACTCATGGTTCTCATTTTTTTTTTTTAACAAACTTAAAGCTAGTTTCCACTTTAGCCTTCTCTGCCAGAAGACTTGTAGCTCTGAATGGAAGGGTGACCTAAATTTAGAATTCTTCCTAATGGTGATACTATGTTTAGAAAAAGAAAGCATGTTGGCACTGGAAGGTGTATGTGACCTATACTACTGAGCTATGACTTGTATTCTCCATGGTGGTTTAGAAGAAGTAGTTTTTTTGTGGAATATCCTTTAAGAAACTTCAGCCTATCAGCTGTTTTATTCCACATAAATTAAGAAACTACAACAAGCATTAATGAAGTGACTGTTAGTACCCCGCTATGTGTTAGATGCTAGGGATGTAAAATCTTGTGCTACTATGATCATCAATTAGCTTATGGTAAATAAGTAAATTCTATCTTTTAATAAAAATAAGTGCAATAATCATTTGATGCGCTACTGTAGAGGATTATTTGTAAGAAGTAGAAATTATGTAGTGGGCAAAATACTGTGTATGTTTAAAGGTAAGAAGAATAATTATGGGGTGAAAAAACTATAGAAGAAGGCAATGTCTGAGTAGGGTTTAAAGGATAGATAGAAACTCAGCAAGCAAAATATGTGGAGACTGGGACTGAGTATCCTAGGCAGAGTGATTAGCATGTGTGCAAAGCCAGAGCAGTACTGTAAAGTATTTTGATATTGCTAATGGCTAAAAGGTAGGAGGGAATTAGACTGATAGTGAGCTTGGACTTTACCCAGCAGGAGATGGAGAGTCATTGATTTTAAGCTAGAGAGTGACATAGTCAGATTTGGCCTTTAAAAGGTCACTCAGGCCTTTGCAAAAGAGATTTGGAATTTTTATTGACTAGTTATATGAGATAATTTAGTGTATATTGGCCTTGAAGTAGATCAATAGGATTTCTTCTATCTTATATGTACCATCTTTTGAAGAGCAGTTGGGAAGATTAACTGTGATACTAAAGCCTATTTATTTCAGGGTAGACTATATGTGTATATATGGCAATGTGCTGTAGTGATTATGATAACTTTTAAAAAGCTAAACAGATCTAGATATTAATAATTTTGTCATTCATTGACTGTGTGAGCTAGGGAAACGTACTTAATGTCTTTAAACCTCAATTTGAATCTGTAAAATATAGCTAATAATGCTCTCCTTGCAGAGTAATTGTAAGATAATGTTACTGGTTAGCTCACCTCCTAGCACATACTAAATGCTAAATAAACAGTAGCTTTTAAAGCTATTATTAACTACATTAATGCTGTCACATAGAAATATAAAAATGCAAGCCATATATATATATATATTTATTATGTTTGGCTCTGTTGGGTCTTCATTGCTGCACGTGGGCTTTCTCTAGTTGCAGCGAGCAGCGGCTACTCTTAGTTGTGCTGCACGTGCTTCTCATTGCGGTGGCTTCTCTTGTTGCGGAGCACGGGCTCTAGGCACGTGGGCTTCAGTAGTTGTGGCTCGTGGGCTCTAGAGTGCAGGCTCAGTAGTTGTGGTGCACGGGCTTAGTTGCTCCGTGGCATGTGGGATCTTCCCGGACCAGGGCTCGAACCTGTCTCCCCTGCATTGGCAAGCAGATTCTTAACCACTGTGCCACCAGGGAAGCCCAAGCTATATATTTTAAATATTCTAGTAGCTGCATGACAAGTAAAAAGAAACAAGTGAAATTAATTTTAACATTTTATTTAACTCATATATCCCAAAATATCAAATTTCAACACATAAATTTGTATACAGATGTTCATGGCAGCATTATTTATAATAGCCAAAAAGTGTAAACCCTGAATGTCCATCAGCTGATGAATGGATAAACAAAATGTGATCTGTCCATATGGTAGAATATTGTTCAGCCATAAAAGGGAATAAAGTTCTGCTACATGCTACAATACGGATGAACCTTGAAAACATTAAGCTAAGTGAAAGATACCAGACACAAAAGGTCACATATTTCATTTTATGATATGTCCAGAACAGGCATATCCATGAGATGGAAGATAGGTTAGTGATTGCCAGGGAATGGGAAGTGAAGGGAATGAGGAGTAACTGTTAAAAGATGTGGGGTTTCTTTTTGGGGTGATTGAAATTTTAGATAATGGTGATGATTACATAACAAAGTGAATATACTAAAAACTACTGAATTGATACACTTTAAAATGATGAATTTTATGTTAGGTAAATTATATTTCAACAGGAAAACATGAAACCAATAGAGAAGTTTTACATTCTTTTTCTCATACTAAGTATTTTTTTTAATACTTTGGTATGTAATTTACATTTACAGCACAACTTCATTTGTACTAGCCAAAAACACTTCAGGTGTTCAGTGGCCATAGGAGCTTGTGGTTAACATATTAGACAGCATAGATTTATATTGTATGTCATTATCTTTACTGTGTGATAACATTCTATTCTGAGTTACGTTAAATTACAAAATGATATAAAACAATGCATCTGACATTAAACATATTTTCTATAATTATAAAAATTCCCTCTTGATTACCATCTGCTTTTTTTATATAAGATAGTAGTTTTCTCTGTGTAAATTTTTGATCTACATATTTTTTGTGACTGGCTTCTTTTGCTTAGCATGTTTTCATGGTTCATCCATGTTGTAGCATGTTTCAGTACTTCATTACTATTTATTATGGAATAATATTCCATTGTATGCCTATACCACATTTTATTTATCCATTCATCTACTTATAGTCATTTGGGTTGTATGTCTTTTAAAGTAGTTGACAGTATAAAGGAGAGCAAGTGTATATAGAGTTTGTTATATTAACTTTATTATATATCATTTCGTCTTCTCTTCATTTGTTTCCATGGATTTGATTTATCATCTTGTGTCATGTGTTTACTCCAATGCAGCTTTGATCCTACCCACCTCTTTGTGCTGCTGTTCTTAAACACATTACATTTCATGTGTTAGAGGCCCAAGAATACAATATATACATATTGTGTTATGCAATTATATTTTATATCAATTAGGAGAAGAAAGGAGAAGAAATATGTAATTATACCATCTTTCATAATAACATAATTACCTTTACCAGTGCTCTTTGTTTATTCATGTGGATGTGAATTACTGTCTTGGGTCATTTGTTTTCAGCCTGAACTTCTTTTACTATTTTTTTATAAGATGAGTTTGCACATTCTCTGTTTTTGTTTGAGGCTATCTATTTCACCATCACTTGTGAAAGGTAGTTTTGCTGTATATATGAGTCTTAGTTTACATTTTTTTTCTTTCTTTGAGTATGTAATCCCACTGCCTTCTGATCTTCATTGCTTCTGTTGAGAAGTCACCTGTTAATGTTATTGTGTTCCCTTGTATATGATGGATCATTTTTCTCTTGCTGCTTTCAGGATTTTCTCTTTGTCTTTCAACATTTATCCTATGATATATCTAGGTGTGAATCTCTTTACATTTATTCAACTTGGAGGTGGTTCTGTTTCTTGGATGTGTAGACTTGGGAGTTTTCAGCCATTATTTACAAAAATTTTTTTTTCTCTCTCTCTCCATTCTTTTCTGGTACTCCCATTACACATATATTCGTGTATCTTTTGGTGTCCAAAAAATACACTAATATATTTTTTGGTGAGCCTCTTCTGTGAGCCTCTTCATTTTTCTTCTTCTTTTATCTCTTTGTTCTTTAAACCACATAATCTCTTTTGATCTGTCTTCAAGTTTAGTGCTTCTTTTTTTCTGCCAGCTCAGATCTACTTTTGAGTCCCTCTAGTGAATTTTTTATTTTGGTTATTATACTTTTCAACTCAGATTGCCCTTTGGTTCTTTTAAAGTAATTTCTGTCTTTTTATTGATAATCCTCTGTTGGTTGAGACATTGTCAGTGTACCTTTTTTTCTTTAAGCATGATTTCCGTTAGTCCTTTGAACATATTTATAATAGCTGTTTTGAAGTCTTTGTTAAGTCTGACACTTTGGTTCTCTTAAATAAAATTACTGTTATCTGCTTTTTTCCCTATGTAGAGGTCACACTTTCCTGCTTCTTTGCATATTTCATATTTATTTTTGAAAACTGGACATTTTTTATAACATTGTAGTAACTCTGGGAGCTGATTCTTTTCTCTTGTGGGGCTTGCTGCTGTTGTTTTGTCTTTGTTATTTGTTTAGTGGCTTAGCTGTACTATCTCAATGAAGTCTTTTTCTCCCACAGTGTGGAGCCTCTGATCTTGCTCCTTAGTGTAGCCTTGGACAGGTGCATAGTCACTCAGAGCTGACAGTGGTTTTAGCTGGGTTCTCTTTGACTATCCTTTCCCTGTTCTTAAGTTAACTGCCTCTGTTGATATCACACCTAGTTGCTACCTCTCACTATTTGCTGACTGATTGCTTTATTGTTTTTTTTTAATAAATGTATTTATTTATTTTTGGCTGCCTTGTGTCTTCGTGGCTGCATGCGGGCTTTTCTCTAGTTGCAGTGAGTGGGGTCTACTCATTGCTGCAGTGCCTAGGCTTCTCATTGCGGCGGTTTCTCTTGTTGTGGAGCACAGGCTCTAGGTGCGCGGGCTTTCGTAGTCGTGGCTTACAGGTTCTAGAGCACAGGCTTCGTTGTGGTGGCGCACGGGCTTAGTTGCTCCGCGGCATGTGGGATCTTCCCGAACCAGGGCTCGAACCCATGTCCCCTGCATTGGTAGGGGGATTCGTAACCACTGCACCACCAGGGAAGTCCTGCTTTATTGTTTTTGACAATGCTCTGGGTCACAAGTTGTTTTACAGTCTAATCCAATTAAATTTGGCTCCCTTTGCAGTAGTATTTGAGGCTAGCCTTGAGGCTTATTTTGATACTAAGAGAGCTATTCTTAGCTGTTTCTTTCTCTGGTTCTCTCCTAGATGATCTAAGATTTAGCTTTTTACTCTCGTAAGATCTGTTGGCTTTCTCTTACTTGCTTCCACCAAAGTCTGTATTGCTTTCAACAGTTCTCTTATTCTTGAACATCCCCACACTCCATTCCAAATGAGTTCCCTTGGGGAGAGCTCAAGGCTCTATGTTCTTAGGGTCTGCCTCTCCCCTAGGCACCACTTCTGTGCCACTGCTTGGGAGGTCAGGATGGGGACAGTGGTCTCTTCTCTTGGAGTGATACCTCTGTTTTAAGAGTTATGGCACTGAGAAGAGGCGATAGCCCCTGGTCTTCCCAGATTGCCTTTCTTGGCTGGAACCTCTGTCCTATGAGCTGCTCAGCAAGAGAAGTCAGTATTTTTGATGTCCTCTGTGCCTGGAGTAAAACTTTACCCTATGAGTGGCGGCTAAGCGGAAGACAGGAGCCCCAGATCTCTCAGCTCCTCTTGCTTGGGATAGACTTTCTGCAACACAGATCTGGGGGCGATGAGAAATGCTGGGAGCCTACTCTTCCCAGAGAGATAGTTCTAGGCTGGGAGCTGGAGAGAGAAGAGCGCTGTGTCTTGGCTACACCTGCCAGGGGTAGAGCTTTGTTATGCTGAGCTGGAGAGGAGGAGGAAATGAGTTTTGCTTTGAATTCTACAGACTGTCATTGTTCTTACCAAGATTTAGTAGATTTTCTTGAAGAAATATTTCCTTTTTTTGTTGTATGCCCTTAGGAAAATTTCCAGAGACTTTAAATGGTTTTTTAAAAATAGTTTTACCAATTGTAGTTATTACATTAGGAAACAGGTCTGCAGAGAACCTTCTCCACCATTCCAGAAGTCATTGTCCCAAATAGGTAGGTTTTATACAGTAAGTCCCCTATATATGAATGAGTTCCATTCCGAGAGCATGTTCGTAAGTCCACTTTGTTCGTAAAGTCCAGCAAAGTTAGCCTAGGTACCCAACTAACACAATTGGCTACATAGTACTGTACTGTAAAAGGTTTATAATACTTTTCACACAGATAATACATAAAAAATAAACAAACACAAAAAAATAAAACATTTTTAATCTTACAGTACAGTACCTTGAAAAGTACAGTAGTACCAGCTACGTCACTGCTACTTTTACGCTTGCTTCCAGACATCCTGGCCTTGAAATAAAGATACTGCACTGCTGTACTCCATACAGTGCTGTACAGTAAAGTACACAAAGCACAACCACTTGTAGAGGATGCACGCACGTGACAATGTACGCCAGACACGTGAACTAACTTACATGATTGGACGTGTAAACTCACATTCACATCTTTGAAAGTTTGCAACTTGAAGGTTCGTGTTTAGGGGACTTACTGTAGTACTTTCAGTTGTGTTATTTCAGTGACACTATTAGTTAAATAAGCTTTTATGACCTGATCTGAGATTCTAACCAGATCAAGGTTCAATTACAGAATGTATTCCAAGTTAGAAATGCACATATCGAATCCAGTCTTTTTGTAATTAGATATTACAGTGATATGTGAAATGTCATAAATTGGAAACATCTACTTTAACTTTGTTTTATAATGCTGTACTTGAGAAAAAATGTACCCTTCTTAAAATAAGATGAATAAAGCATGATAAAACTGATCTCTAAATTATGAAAAAAATTTAAAAGTAACTTTTAAAAAAGCCATAATGTTAACATAATTATTTCTTCCTTTCAGAACATGTGAACTTATATATTTGTCACAACCCAGCAGTTCGTAAGTACCTCAGAGTATGTTATTTTGCACTTTTGGGGTTTTTTTTTTTAGAGATTTTTGTGGAAAAATCCCAAACATGTTGATAGTTTCAGGGTTAGTTTGATTGACTGTTCTATGATACTTCATAAATTAAGGTCATAGATTTAAGCCCTATACGGATTATTTATCTTTTCACAAAGAAAGTGGTATGAAATACATGCCTTTTACTACAAGGGAGAACTAATAAGGTCGAAGTTAATTCAGAGCAACATTTTACCAGCTCTGGGAAAAATGCCAATTCATTGACAAAATCTTTTTTCAGAGTATATTATAGACATTTTATTAACTAAGACTCAGAGCATAACTTTTGAGTAAGAATAAACATGAACGTCTATATTAAAATTTCTAAGTAGCCTTTTTAAATGCATGATACATGTTCCAACAGTATAACATTGTAAGAGCTCTAGAGTTTTTCTTCGGAAACAGAATGAGTAGTATGTGAGGTTTTCTGCCTCATTGAAGTAATAATACTGAAGATGATTGATACAAAGGGAAATTGTGTATTAATTAATTAACTCTATTAATTCCACTCGTTAATTCCAACAAGTGAATAACTTAACGTTTATGAAGACATAGTGTTAATTTGGTAGAGTCACCCAAACCTCTGTTTTTCTGCTTACAGAAAATTGATTTTAATTAGAAAAGAGAGCAGAAGAGCATTAATTGGAAACCATGTATGTCATATTATACCACTTTCTGTGCATATTTTTAGATTACAGTAGAAGATATTCAATATTTTCTTTAAAAAATGTATACTACTTTGGGAAAATATAAATAACATGGTGAAAACACTAACTGAATTGAGACAAATTGAATTCATGTGTAAATTGTGCATTTAAGACGGACTGTATTCTATTATGCGATCAACTCTGGTCTATAATTGTAAAAAATGAAAAAAAAACGGTGTAGTTGGAAAACAGTGTGAGTTTTTTTTCTTCTTTCTATTTGTTTATTAGGATATCTACGGAAATAAATTCTATGTTGGTGCTAAAAGTTTCTTGGCTCACGTTTTTACTAGCTAAAGGTAAAGTCATTATGTTTGTTACATACTAATGTTTCAAATGTAGTAATTGATAATTCTTTCGAGTAAGCTCAAAATTTTAATTCTATTTAATATTGTTCCTCCTTCCCTCTAGTTCTTTGTGTGACTTTTTAACTGTTAGCAAGTTCTTGTAATTCTGATATTGGAGGCAACCTTGAAAACGTCTCATTTCATTTCTTTTTCTAATACTTTTCATTCTTTCCTATTTTTAAGAATAATGTTACTGTTTTTATAAAAGTGATATATATTCATGATAAAGAATGCAAATAATACAGCAAAGCGCAAAGAAAAATGTAGAAAAATTACCCAAAACCCACCTAGAAATAATCATCATTAAAATTATGTGGTTGTATGCACAAAAATGTATCTGGAGTAACATTCTGATTAAAAAAGGTGGGTGGCGGGGTTCCCTGGTGGCGCAGTGGTTGAGAGTC